GTTTCCAGTTTTAGTAAAAAAAAAAAAAAAATCCCTGAACTTGCCTAAGAAAAACAATATTACTGTATTATTGTCTTTATCTTTATTTACAAGTACATGAAGATAATCTCCTGATAGTGAGAATTTATAAATTTGTAGTTGGGTTTTGCTAAGCGATTATGGGAGCCTCATATCTATCCTACAGCTGAGTGTTTTATTTATTTATATCTTCCTCTGTTTAAATAGAGATTAGATGTTTCTGGAGGTTAAAACTAACGCCTAGTCTAAACGAGATGGCAAAAAGGGAACTTCAACTATTTTGAAACAACTCCAGTCTCAAAGTGTTAAGATTCTTTGTAGGCTGTTTTTGTAATCCCATATTTTATTTCTTATTTACCTTGAGATCAGAAATGTCTTTTGCAAGTGCATCCTGGTAGATTAAGCATGTGCTGCAGAAAATTGAGCCGCTTTTAAATATTTGACATTTCTTTCATGGGTTGGGAAAAACTAGAGCATTTAGATTAAACATCAGGTCCACAGTTTTCTGGGTGAAACTCAAGATTGAAAAGGTGAGTCAATATTACAAAGTAGTGCTGGGAGATATGAGGAAAATCTAATATTCAGATATTTTTTTACTATATCATGATACACGATATACATCACTAAATGAGCTCCAAAGTTATTTTAAACTAGACTCCTTGCAGCATGTCATCCACGCAAGTTCCCGCCCCCATTTCCCTGATAGACTTAAATGTAAGCTCATATAAAAAGGGATGCAGTGTTTTGTCATGAACTGTCTACACTAAGACAAAGTCAGAAATAAGTTTTAACTAAGAAAAAAAATAGCGAGGCAGAGGGAAGTAGATCAGTTATGCTTGACTTTGACAAACTTAACAAATAGATGTGCTGTGGAATAAGATATGGTTTGGTTCCGCTTAAAAATAAAAAAGGCGATCTACACACAAACTGACAGATCATCAGTACAGCAGGTGTTTAAATTAACTAATCAACCACCCGCTGTGTTAGCTTGGCTAATAGCAGCGGTGGCTAATCTACCACAGCGAAATAATAATCGCAAAATACACATCAAGCCTAAAACCATAAAACTGTAACGAACTAAATGTTCTGTACTATGTGGGGGTAATGTTTGCGTGTTTTTGGTGCTGAATCCCGACACACAAGGTTACGGTGTTGTCAGTTGCTACGGGAACGAGTCTGCTTGTATTGTAAAGCCGACAGAGAGAGAGAGAGAGAGAAAAAAAGAATGAATAGTTTTGAGTTATTTTTCCCATTGCATAGCATTAAATGAATCATACATATGTCTCCAGGTTTCACTTTAACGGACTAGTTGACTATGAACTAGTCTATGAACGGCATGTAAAAGAGTAGTCTGATTAGGCGGTGAAATACCTTTGTGGTACAACCTTTTGTCACAATAGTTTTATAACATGTTTCGCGAATTACCTAGTATTGTTCGACTTCCTCCATATAAAATCTGAACTATTGCCAAATTATTGACCCAGCGCTGTTTCTCTTCGGAACTAGACTAGTTCATCTGACTCCCCTTCAGTTACAGTCTCATTCACGACTCGCCTCAAACTCTCGCTGTCGCCATGTTGTTTGTTTTCTCCGCGCAGCGTGATTGGTAGAAAAATTTCAGGTCGGGAATGGGGGAGGGACTAGTGATGCATTCATAGGGTGTCGGACAAACAATATTCGCAGTGAATTTGACCGCGAAAGTTTCTTATTTGAACGGCAATTTATAATCGATGGTTGCTATACAGACATGTTAACTATGTAAATTGAAAATATCGCGATACATCGAGTATACTCGAGACATCGCCCTAACCTATTACAAAGTGAACAAAACAGTTTATTTCAGAATACTTTACTGAGAGAATGAGAAAACAAAACTGATAGGAAAATGTTCTAAAAAAATGTTATGCTTTTCTTTGTGCAGATGTATCATTACACAAGTATTCCTCTATAAATCCAGCCTCTTATTTCTGATTTGCTTATTTAAATAATTTCTGTGAGTACACAAGTACATCTTGACAAATTAGAATCTGATCAAAAATAAAAGATATATTTCAAACCTTGATTTTTGTTCATTTTGATGATATTGGCTTGCAGTTAGAGAAGATTCAGTACATCAGAAAAGGTAATTATTTTATAAGAGATGCTGGACTGAACATTCTATAAGTATTATTAAAAATAATGTTTTAAATATTATTTTGGATTTTTTTTTAATTAATCTGAAAAAGTGAATGTAAGACTGAAGAACAGCAGGTTACCTACCTAAAGCTGTGCACAGGTTCAACATCAGCAGAGAGTAGTAGTACAGGTCCATTTTACTGATCAGGTGGAGGGATACACAGCTTTGAGAAAAAATTGCTACAAAATAAATAAAAAATATAATTAATTAATTTGTAGCTCCTGTATTCTTCGAATTCAAATCTCAGGTTGAACTAGAATGCCATTTTCATCTAAAGCTCCAAAACATGGCATCGCGACTCTGCAGCATCTCACCTCTGCTGGAGGAAACATGGAGGAACCTGAAGGCGACAAGAACGGCGACATTCAGAAACACCATGAATATGAAGAGCGCTCGGCACAGGATGTAGTGATCCGTAAGCAGGATGAAGGACTGAGCAAAACCGAAGCTGGGACTGAGGGTGTCCTCCAGCGTGAAGTGCTGCTCCCGCACCACTGACCGGCCCGCTGAGTCCTGATGCAAACACAGGCCAGTAGGAAAGCTTTAAAACACAGTTCACAAGCACTCTTGGGACTCGCAAACTAAATTAAATATTTTAGAAATCGCATTAGCACCGACCTCCACTTTAACTGTAATCGTGTGCAGGCCAGTGAGGTAGCGAGTCGGGTCCCACAGTAGGACATACAGGGGCCCTCCAGCGGAGCGGCCGGTGCCCAGCGGCTCCCCGTCTATGCTGACGTGGACCGCGGTGATCGGAGCCTCGGAGAAGGCCAGGATCCTTCAGAAGTCACAAAGTCACAGTCAGAGGAAGTGCAATTAATAAAGCAATGCAAAAAGAGGGAGAAGTTATTAGACAGATAAATAGATAAAGGAATAAACAATCAAAAGGAGGGATCCACTGATCTATTAGAAAATGGGATATGATAATAAACTGAAGGAACAAACATGTTTCCATTCTTCTACAGACTTTTAAAACAGTCAAATTACATTCCAAATCTTTCCAGACACATTTAAAAAAATAAATAAATAAAAATAACAAATTTACAAGCACCTAATGTGTGTTGATTTCCGTATCCGGCCCAGTGGCTCCACCCCTGGGTGGAGGTACTGCGCGTCCTTAGGGTTTGTGATGAGCACTGCAGGCCACTGCTCAAACTGGAGGTCAGAAAAACTCAGCAGGTCATGGTCGAAGGCCAGGACCCTGAACCTGTAGGAAAACATCAGAGAAATTCTCTAAGGAAAAAGAAAACAAAAAACAAACAAACCAAACAACTAAAAAGTTGTCATTCCAAAACGTTCTGTGGCGTCACACACCTGCGGTTTTCCATCCAGTCTCCCAGCTCCAGCTCCAGAGTGCCGTGCGGATGGCGGCTGTGGAGGACTGGCATCAGGCCGCCGAGTGTGTGCAGGTGGCCACACAGATACACCACAGCAGATCTGAACACAGAAAGCCCAGACCTGAGAACTGGGAATCTACATGAGCAAGCCTGGGCCACAATATTAAAGGAGCGTGATGCAAGTTCAGGCTGCAGGCAAAGCCAGGTGGATGAATAGTTGCACCACGACAGCGTTAACATAACCCGTCTTTTGTTTTAAACTGGTTTGACCTTCCTACCTCATCATGTCTCTGACCCCAGGAGACGGCGAGACGATGGTGGAGGTGGTGTAGTGGCCAAACCAGATGGACTGATTGCTCTTCAAACTCTCTGCTCCAAACTTGTTCAGCAAGTCCATCTGAGTCTAACAGGCGAATCCAGAAAAACAGGAAAATGTCTCAAAGACGAGAAATAGGAAGAGAACAAAAAAAAAAGCATAGTAAGAGTAATTTTGCTCCTTTTGCACCTTCTGTTTCTTCCCCTAAAAATAGCCTAATTTGTCCATTTGAAAGAAGGTTTGTTGCAGTTTGTTTTAACGTGTTTGACCTATTGGTTTTGACATTTTTGTTTATTATTTATTTTACATTGTCTGTTATAATTGCACTGACTGACCAAATTAAAATTGTTTCTTTTTTTTATGTTTGACCAAGCTT